CCCCCCCGGTTGCAACATTTACGTTCTTTCAACGTTCTTGGTGTTGTGCCTGATTTCACGGCAAGCGTCTCTAAGTGTTTATACTTCTTCCTTACACGGTGTTGGAGGTAAGTTCCCACTGGGTGAAGGGAGTGAATGCTTCGCGCAATCTCAGCCCCGAGCATCGCACTGTCTCCTAGAAAGCTTCAGTTTGGTACGTTAAAAAAATATATATCTATATTTGCCAGTTTGGTGAGAAACAAGAGTCTTGCTTTAACTTGGGTTTATTGAACTCCTAGCGACATCAAACATAATGTATTTGTTTCCCTCCTTTGTAGCTGTGAGAGTTTCACATACGTCTGTCATGAGTATTGCTGTTAACAAATTTCCCCTTTGTTGCTCGCTTGGTGTGGTTATGCTTTGCGGTGTTAAAACCACCTGGAACTTAGTACTAGCTCTGCAAAAGATAGCAGTCTTCTGCTTGAGCAACCTTAGTGGGCTTGGGAGTCCGTGAGGGGGAGCGACCGGCAGGGACCACACATCTGCCGCTGGTGTCCCGTCAAGCTGCTTTATTGGATCTGAATGAGCCATTCCCAGGGTGGTTTCCCACACGGCTGGAGGGCAGCCCTGGGTGTTGGCTGGGGGCCTGGGTTTCTCTGCACATGGGCCCGTCCGGGGGCCGCTTGGGCTTCCTCCAAGCATGGAGTCTGGTTCTCGGCGTATCGCAAGCCGCTCAAAACCCAGACCCACAAGTTCGCACCCAGCACCTCCACCGTCTTCCCCTGGTCACGTGGTCCCAGAACCCACCTTGATTCAAGGGAGGGGACGTAGACCCTGCCTCTTAATGGGCACTCGTGGTAAAGAATTTGTGGCCATTTTAAAATGGCCACACTTAAACAACACATTTTGGTATTTTGTGGGGGTTCATAAAATTACGTGGGTTTTATGTGACTGTGGACTTCGAGCACTTTTCAGAAGGGGAGGTGGAGAGAGAGAGATGGGCAGACGTCCCCCTTCACCCTCTACCAGCGCTCGCCCCTGCCCGGACAGAAGCCCCTCACTATCTGGCTGGAATTGCTCTGGGCCTTTCTGTGTGTGCATTTATATGATGTGGTTTGCGATTGCGTAGACGGCTTTTATTTAACAGGAGAAGGGATGGGACTCTTGCTGTGTGATTTGCTCTTTTCCCTTAGTGACCTGTCTCGGCGGTCTTCCCGGGTCAGGCCGGCTGGACCAGCCCCTTCCTGTCCAGCCTCTGCGAAGGGTTTCATACACGCACTTTACGTGACGGGCCCCGGCCGGTGGGCACTTACCTGCTTTCCATTCTTTGCTGTCGCAGACGCCCCCGCCTTTGCGAGCTCCCTGCAGAACTCAGCCCTGGGGGGGGTGATGGCGGGTCACTGTGCCTGCACATCCCGGTTGTTGCTGCTGGACCGCCGCCCCCACCGAAGGGTTCCCTCCCGTTCCGGATTTATCTCGGATCCCTAGAACACGTCTCCCCTCCACTCGTACGTTGGTTGGTTCTGTTCACCATACTGCGCATACGCTCTGGGCCAAGCGTTCCCCTCCCGCCACGATTCCGGGCGACACCTTTCTGACCAGGATCTCACAGTCCAGGAGACGGCAGGCCCCCTGGGGCACCTCCTGCCAGGCCAGTGGGGGGAGGGCGTGGCGCGTGCGGGCTGGGGCCTCTTGTTCTCCTGGAGTTTCGTTAAGCCAAGGGGTCTCTTCTGGACACCGCGTTGACTCGTCATAGTCGCTCTTGAGGGAGGGAAGGAGCCTGGATCCGGTGTCCGTGCTGGGGACTTCAGCTCCCGTTCCTGGCCCTGTTGCTACAGCCCCTTCGTAGCAGGGGGACTGAGGCTCAGGGTAGGAAATGCTCAGGTCAGTGCAGCCTGCGGATTCCGGAATGTCGGGATGGTCAGTGCAGAAATGGTGCAGGCCCCCCACAGGTGCTGGATGCCCGGTAGGCCTCGGAGAGCATCGCTGAATGAATGGGGCGCCCGTAGCCTGCCGGGCCCGCTCCGGTGACGGGTGTCGCTCGTCCATCACGGAGCCGTTGGCGAGTCCAGTCTGGAGCTGGTGCCGATCTGTTTTGCGCCCACCCTCCCTCCTCAGCTCGGCGCCCTGGGCCTCACTCCCGGGGTGCCGGGCCTGGGCAAGGCCGTGGATGCAGAGGGCCCCCTGCCAGTGTGACCCCGGCTGGCCCGATGGCAGCCAGCCCGCCTTCCAGGCCATGTGGAAGCAGGTGGGGCGGTGCGAAGAGCCTCTTGCCGCAAACACAGCCAGCCCGGGCCGTGTGGTCTGGCACTTGGTGCCATCCCTCCCCCGACCCTTCCCTCCAGAAAGAGGAGATAAATTACCTCTGGGGAAACTCAGATTAATCATCCGGTTCCCCCTCACGCCTGCGGGCTCCGCTCCTGGGCTGGCTCCTGCCGGCAGCGTGGGCTGGCCGCGGCCCAGCCCGCCCCTCTGTCCCGTGCCGTGCCTGCAGTGGGCCGGGGGTTCGCGTCCAGCTCTGCTCTGTTCCCAGCCCTTTGTGGGATGACGGGAGAGACGTACATACGTCCCTCTGTTTCTGGAAAGCCAGATGGAGAGCAGGGGGGACGGAGCGGAGCAGGCACGCCCCCCGGTGCTCGGGCCGGCGGGAAGATTCCTCTCGTCCCTCGGTGGTGCCCCGTAGGGCCCTCCCCGTGTGACCCTCCCGTGTGGCCCCAGCAAGCCCGAGGGCTTCTGCTGGCCTCCACGCGATGTCGCCTTCCCGTCCACTCCTCCCTTGGGACTCCTTCCCACGTGCTCTGACCTGCCAGCCGGCCCTCGTGGGAGTCCTGGCAGACAGCAGGACTCCCTCCCAGGAGCGTGAGAGGGTGTGACTGAGAGTGTGTGTATGTGTGTGAGAGGGAGTGAGTGTGTAAGAGGGTGTGAGTGTGAATGTACATGAGCGAGTGTGTGTGTGTTGAGAGTTACCTTCTGGTGGGGAGGGTCACCAGGCTGGACCGTATGTAGGTGCCCTCGGCCCAGGTGATGGCACGTACGTGTGTCTGGGCCCCATGAGGGCACCTGGCCAGCATTTGGCCACAGTGTGGCCAGCATTTGGCCACAGCATGTGGCCACAGCACAGGCCACACCTGTGCGGGGGCAGGTGTCCAGACCCTCGGGTCAGCCGCGGTGACGGGTGGAAGATGGGGGTCACAGTCCGGGGCAGGCCAGGAGTTAACCTCCCCCCTGGGGCCCTCCTTAGCCACACTGTGTTCCTAGGGAGGAAGCGACGTAGGTGCACGGTGGGTGTTCGGGGCCTCAGCTGCCTCCCTCCCCAGGGTTTGTGGGCACGCGGTGGGTGCCCAGAGACTCAGCTGCCGCCCTCCCCCGGCCGTGGAGGTGCACGGTGGGTGTTGAGGGCCTCAGCTGCCCCCCTCCTGGACCAGGACCACTGCACTCGCAGCCCCAGTGTGCCCCCTGTTGGGCGGTCCTTCGAGGAAGGGGCATGAGCTGGTGCCAGCTCAGGGAGGCTGTGCCTGCCTCTCTACCTGCTGCCCTCCGTGGCCTTCCAGAACCCGTTTGCGTCCTGGCTGCGTCACCCGCTCATGGAATCCCCGTGTCCTGCGGACTCACGCCCACCCCCCCGCCCCGCCCCCGCTGCCCCCAGGAGCACAGTTGCTGCGTGGACGGAACGCCACGGGCATCTGCTGGAGGGAAAGGACAGGACCGGCCAGGCCGCTGTGAAGGGACCGGCACCAAGTGTGGTTCTAACTGGACGGCCCAGAAGCGCCCGCTTTTCCCAAGGCTGAGCTGCAGCCTGGGGGGTTTCTGGGCCCCCGGAGGACAGAGCAGGAACGAGGGAGGTCAGGGTCTCCCGCCAGCGGGGCGGGTGCGGCCTGTGGGCCGAGGGCGTCCCACTTATGAGCGAGGACCCGGCCGTTTGTGTGCGCCGGCCGAGCGAGGTCAGGCTGGGGGGCGCCCTGCGCGGTGGCCCTGGCCCGCTGACCGGCCGTGGGGTGGGCTGGGTCCCCTCTGCCCTCTGCTGTCTGCAACGCCGTCCGGCTTTCAGTTCTGACAGGTTCTTAGCTCACCCTGCCCCCCGCCACGACTGCACTTCACCCTTAGCGTGACACCATGAGGTCAGAGTGAGGAGCAGGATGCGGCCTTCCCGCTCCCCATCTCCGGGCCCTCGTGTTGGCTCACGGAAGGTGCGCTCCCAGGGAGCCCGTCCTGCGCCCCACAGTCCCTGCCCTCCTCCCTGCACACGGTGGGGGCGGTTGGGGCGGGGCACGGGGCAGGTGCCCCGTGTCGTCCAGCAGTCCGATCTCAGGCCGGGTGAAGGGAGTCAACGATGCTTGCGCGTGGCCGTGGCCGTGGCCCCTGCCGGCCGGCATCCCTTGCGGTGTCCCTTCCCTTTTGCCGATGGTGACGGGGAGCCTCCGGATGGAACCCACTTTCCCCAGGGCCGTGGGGCTTGTGGCGGGGGGGAGCTGGGACCGGAGCCACATTTGCCGAGCCCTAATCCCGGGGCCTTCGGAGGCCCCCTGGGGGAGGCGGCTCGAGGAGGCCTGTCCTGGCCGTCCGGTCGAGGACACAGATGCTGCACAAATAGTCACATGCCACGAAGCTGAGGCTGTGTCAGCGCCCCGAGCTCTTGCTTAGAAACCGGAAAAGGGGCCAGAAACACCTGACAGACGGTGTCATTGGACACGACGGGCTCCGTGCTGGGCTCACCCCCAGGGAAGACAGACTGGCAGGGGGTCAGGGATGTCGTAGGGGAGGCTAGTGGGGTCTCTCGGTGGGGGAGTGACGATGACCGCGAGCCTCCGCCAGGTGCGCCCTCACGTCTGTTCCCGCATGGGACCCTCCACTGCCCATAGGGCAGGGTGGGCAGAGCCAGGCTCCAATCCAGCCCCCTCTAGCCTCAAAACTGCCTGAGTTGGGGTCCAGGGGTGCTAAGGCCCCGCGGCAGGCCCCCGGGGGCTCGAGCAGGGCGGTCGTGCTGCCCGCCGCACACCCCCAGGACTCTCTCCTCAGGGACCATGGTGGAGCGGTCCCCGCAACACTGTGGCATCGGTGCGGTGGCGGCCGGTGAGAGCCGCGGCCTCCTGGACGGGACCGGGCCCTGATGTCCGCAGAGGAGTGATGGGAGCCACCGAAGGGGGTCACGGGGTGGCCTCAGGCGCGAGGAGCCCGTCTTCCCCGTGTGGCAGCGAGCCTGGCCTGCCCCCAGTTGATGTGAGCTCCAGGGCTCTGCCCTGTGGCAGCCCCGGGGTGCCGGAGGGGGAAGGACGTGGAGGCGGTCTGAGTGCATTTTCCACCCCTGCCTGTTTGCTTTGTTCCCACAGTTTGGTCACTGAAGAGGAATTTCTGTCGGAGCCTCCGAGGGCCTGTTTGTTTTCCGACCTGCTGGGCTGACCTTCCTGATGGGGCCACGGAGGGCTGGTGGGAGGAGCCTCGGCCCTGGGTCGGGTTGGTGGGGGGGGCCTCTGCCCCCCCTCCCTCGCTGGTGTCCTTCGTCCTTCTTGCTTCCCCGAAGCATAGGAGGGAACTAGTAAGGACAGGGCAAGGGCTGGTGCTTCCGCGGGTGACCGTGTGGCGCTCTGCTGACACGGGACAAGTGGAGCCCTGGGGGGCAGTGGCCGTGTCTGGCGGGACCAGGGGTGCGGGGATCCTCCTGAGGTTCGCAGCCCAGGGGAGCAGACCGCACACGGGCCTGAGGTACCTGAACTCACGGAAGGGCGCATCTCTGAGAGCAGCGAGGTTACCGCACGCGGGAGGCGGACGCGCCGTGATTCGGGGACCGCGTCATGAGCTCCGTGTGGCCCCTGCCTGTGCCGAGTGGACGCGGGTTCGGGGCTGGCGTGGATCAGAAGCTGTGGATGGCTCTGTCGTGGCCCCGGCCGGGTCCCAGCCTGCTGGGGCCACTCGGGGTGGTCACTCCCCGTGTCCACCCGTCCTCGCTCTCGGAATCAAGGGCGCCGGCACCCAGGTTATTTATGACTCCTTCTAGCTCTAAAATTAGACGGTTCTGAGAATTTTGAAGATGTAAACCTTGGTGGTTGTTTAGAGAACTCGTCACGTTTTCTTTTGGCGGTAACGGTGTTGACTCAAGGGTGCAGAGCGCCCGCCACTTGGCTCTCCCCATTGGGTTTGTCCGGCAGCCCGCAGACACCTGGCAGGATTTGGCCCTGGTCTCCGTTGAGAGGAAACGGTGGGCTGTGGGCCTTGGAGGGTGAGCCGTGGCGTTCTGGGGCCGGTGGCGGGG